CCCCCCCCCCCCCCTTCAGTTTGTCTGTCTATCTCTATCTCGGCCGCTTTCTCTCGGCGCCTCCACCCCCGCCAACTCTCACCAGCTCAACAGTCATCCGGGTCCCTTTGGAGACCTTCATGCCCCCAGGCCGCCCCGCCTCGGCTGCTCCCTCCGCCATCGCCTCGCGCATGACGGCCTCTCTAGCCGCACGGAGGAATGCCTTGACAGTCAGGTCGAACGCTATTCCGGGGGTCACGGCAGACGGCGCAAAGCACGAGAATATGACGGGGTCCCTCGGGGGCGGCGCAAACCACGAAGACGCGACGGGATCCCTCCCGGGTAGTATCACCCCCCGCGTGGAGTGGTCGACCGGCGTATCCCCGTTCATCACCGAACGTGTCGTGCTTCGTGACGATGCCGTCGTGCTTTGGGCAATCAGCCGGAGCGAAGACCGGTCGTCGCCGAGGATGGCTTCCGACGTCATCGTTGTCATCGAGTCCGACGGCCCAAGTTGTCCTCGAGGACGAACCACGGGGTACAGGGGCCTCCTTCCATTCCGTCCTTCCGACGGGGGGTCGATGACGCCCAGCGAGTCTTGAGGCATGGTGGAGTAGCCGGAGGGGATCGACTCCTCCTCGTCCCCGTCGTCCATTCTGTGGTCTTCGGCTCTTTCCGTGGGGGTGTAGAAACCGCGAGGTGGAATTTCTGTGCCAAGAGCCCTTCCTGTGCCAAGAGCCATTCCTGTGTCGTAAGCAACTCCATCGTCGGACACATCAGCAGCGAAATCAGCTCGTCTTTGATGCCGCTCCATTCCCCCCATCGCAGCAGCTAGAGCCGCGTCCAGTCTTCGAGCTGACGCCGCCGCCTCCGCCTCCGCCACCGCTTCTCTCCTGTCAGGCAAGGGTGGTGCCCCCTCGAGGGGTTGCGAGTAGGACGACGTCCGCCAGGACTCGGGCAACTCCGGTGCCTCCGGTGGCGGGCCCTCCGGTGGCGGGCCCTCCGGTGGCGGGCAAATAAACGTCTCCGTTGATTGCAAAGAACCCCGCAGTCGGAGAGCGTCGGAGTACGTCGGCGGAGGAGTGAGAGGGGGCGGCGGTGGCAGCGTCGACTCTCCCCTTGTCCTTGATGACTCTACCGGTGCCCGTGCGGCGGGAGATCGTGTTTCGCTCGATCTCATCATTCCGACCCGAGGACGACGCCCTGTGCCAATGGTGGAAGATGCCGTTGAGACCCACCCCAGTTCCTCGGGGCCGCGTGACCCATCAGGGGGCCCTCCGCCGCGGCTTACTCTTCGACGCGGAACTGCCAGCGGCGCCGGCGGCGCAGCCCCCGACGGCGCAGCCCCCGACGGCGCAGCCCCCGATGGCGCAGCCCCCGATGGCGCAGCCCCCGCCGGCGGTGTAGCCATCAACTGCGGCCGCACCAGCGGCGGCGGCGGCGGCCGCGCAGCCCCCCGCATGGGCATCGCCCGCACCTCGCGCATGCCCTTGGCCTTTTTTTTGCGCGAGTAAAGTTTCCCGGCTACGGCCAACATCCTCAACGATTTCTTCGCTCCCGACGGCGCTTCCTCTCCCTCATCCCTCCCTTCCTCCTTCTCTTCCGCGAGTGGCGAGGACGCGGTGGGTGGCGCCGCTTCCGACTTCCTGCGACTTGGTTGGAGTTCGCTCTCCAGCGTCGAGGAAGAGCCCGCGGCGGACGGCCCCCTGCTGCCGCGGCTCCACCCCATTGGCTTGGGGAATGGAAATATCCTCTTGCGGGAAACAGGGGTAGCAGGAGCAGCCGCGGAGGGGGCAGCAGCAGTGGCTTCGGCGTAAGGCTCGACGTCTTCCCCTGAGCGCCGCTCCGTCTTGACCTCTTCCATTCCCTCCTCCGTTTCCCGCGTCTCCTTCGCCCAGGACCTAAGGCTCGGCTTCAGCATGTCGCTCTTGCTCGGGCCCTTGAACGCCGCCCGAAAACCGTCTTCCCTCTTCTCCTCTTGCTGCTGGCCCGCTCCCGGCGCCCGGCCCACTTCCTCTTCTAGCTCGCGGCTCATGTCCAGCAGGGGGGACGGCACGTACGTTCCCACCGGGGAACGAAGGCCGGACGGCGCGTACGATCCCACCGGAGAATGGAGTCGTCCGTCCGACGCCGGCGGAATCGGCTCCGACTCCAATCCATCCAACGACGCCCCTAGCACGACCGGCGCCTCCCCGACAGAAGGCATGTCTGCCGCCCCAAGCGAGAACCGCCGGCTCCCGTCCCGGCTGCTGTGGCTGCTAGACTCCCTCGGCACAAAGCCCGCGGACTGGTGCCGTCGCATGGAGACGGGGACGCGCGGAGCGCTCGGCACTGTCATCGAAGAGTGCCTGCCACGCGCCCCCGGCGGAGCAGGCTCGAAGGGGAACGCCGGCTCCGCGATGGCGGTCGGCATGCCACTCCCCGCCGACGACGCTCCTGAGGACGACCGGTCGATGAGCGCGCCGCCGCCGCCGCCGCCGCCGGTGCTACCCCACCAGCCGCCCCGGGCGTCCCCGTACACTTCCGGCGACCCAACAGCGCTACCGTACCCGATACTCCCGGAGGATGCGCTTAAGCCGCTGAAGGAGCCGCCAACTCTAGCCATCTGAGGGGTTCCCGCGTGGCCGGCCCACGAGCCGCCCCCACGACCAGCACCCCAGCCGCTCCCTCCATCACCACCCGGGTAATAATCACCGGCAGCGCCCCGCCCGCCCCTGCTACCGCGCGGGTGAAAAAAATCACTTCGGCCACCCCTGCCGCCCCGCCCAAAGCGGCCACCGCCGCCACCAACGGGCCCCCCGCGGAACCCACCCCCGCCGGCGGGCTTGTCCATGCCGGCGAACGGTGGCAGCCTCGTGTTGCGCTGCGTTCCTTCCTCCACGTGGACGCTCAGCTGGGCGTAGAACGTGGGGGCGGTCGGGATGGAGGATGCGTGGCGCCACTCGTTGGGCAGCTCGCTGACGGCCGCGCCCTCGAAGCGGCCGTCGGGGACCAGGCTCCAACCCCCGAGGTAATTGGTCTGCTGGACGACCGCTATCAGCGGGAAGCTCGTGTCGTACACCGTGATGTCCAGCGCCTCCAGCCACTCGACCGAGCCATCCGGGTCCGCCGGCTTGGGTACCGTTTCTGCCGGCGCTCGCCCCTCTGACCCCGCCCGGAATTTCACCCGAAAAAGGCCCGGCGTCCCCTGCGCTGTCGCGGGCAGGTTCTCCACCCGCACCTGTTTCGTAGGGACAAGGACCAAAATGTGGATACATCAACAACTACTTCGAAGTATAATTAGGTATAATTTAGGTGTTGCGTTGCAAAGTGGCATGATGGCAGTGGTGTATGTGCAGCGGCGGGCGGCACCAGTTGCGTGCGTGGGAAACGGGCGATGCGCTGGCGGCACATACGGGGCGGGGGTCGTGTGTTCTAGCGGAGCGCAAGCACCCTCTAGCAGGAGTTGTGCCTCATCGGTACGCCAGGGTTACAGCGGTGTGCGGACCAAGCCGATAACAGTATCATAAGGGCAAAAGAAAGCACACAGGAGTTCGGTCGTCAATGGCCAGGGAAATTTCTTGTATGTCCTTCATCTCTGGCTTGACCTCCGCTCACCGCTATTGTTGGCGTACGCATACATTCGTCGGAACGGACGGTGGTGTGTGCGGTGTGACGAAAGCCGACGCACCACATCTATTGCACCGGGTCTTGGGGAAAACATCTATTAATAGGACCACCCACCACCGTTTTACGTAACGGATTAAGCACTCGGCTATAGGACGCCATGGCTACCGGTGCTCTTGGGCGTGATTTCCATACTTCAGACACTATATACCCCACCAAAAAAAACAAAACATGTGCAGCAAGTAAGACAACTGACTCCTCCATTATGAACGCCATCTATCTTTGTGCTATGTGCGAAAGCGTCACAGCGGTTGTGCAACTTTCGCTGTTGTGCTCCAACCCCCAGCCACTGGCATGTGAGGCGACTCAAGTAGCAGCTTGCAGCCGGTAGGTGCTCTTGGCCTTGATCGAGTTCTTCACATATTGCAACAAGAACCTTTGACACTTCGGTACCAAGAGAATTGTTGCTTTCCGATGCGGATTGCCCGATAGCAGTACAACACAGCACAAGCAAAAGCCGACCGCGCCAGGAAGGGATATGCATATGCGACGACGCACATCCGAGGGCAACAGCCCAAACCGCCAACAACCGGCGGTACGCTGGACTAATGGTGCCATGCATCATCCCTTCTTGAGATTTTCCGGCCTACCAACTCGGCCAGTGCGCACCTTGGTGATGAAAATGACCGCAGGCATGATTGTTGATCAGTGTCTCCGGCTGATCAGCCCCGCAGTTTCTCCACAGGCGAGAGAGCTTCCGACGGCGAAAGCCAGCCTCCTGCTCTGCGAAACGACTCTGTCAGCAGGACAAGAGAGAGAGAGCGAGGAAGAACGTCAAACCCTATCTATCCTAGAAACAGGTTTCCGTGCACTTGGTGCCGACGGCGAAGCCAGGGGCGGGAGCAGACCACATACTACGGCATCGCCAAACGTTGCGAGTGCCGCCCAAGAAAGAAGGCGGATAACACGCCTGTCTGACTGTCGGGGATGTTGGTGTAGGTGAGTGGCGCCGCTGGTCAGTAGGCTTGCTGCAGAACAATGAGTCGGAGTTGTTGAACCACGGGCGGATTGACGCCGGGTCCATCATGGCGCCAGAGGCCACGCGAGGTGGTCGCGCGAGACTCCACCGAAAGCGGTCATGGCAAGGCCACGACGGTGTGCGACAACATAGAGTGCAGGATGGACAAGACAGCCTGCATCCCATCAGACATTTTCAACTCTAGGCCTCACCGATGATCTGCCCTGGTCGGTCGGACGGGGAACCGAGGCACCAGGCGTAGAGCTCACCACACCTCTATCCCCTCCGATCTTTGAGCGTCACAGCGACCCTTGGGGAGCCGCCGCCGCTGCTATTGCTGCCTCCACTGCTGCTGATGCTTAAGGTTGAGTGAGAGAGCGGTATGGGACCATACCCTGCTCGGTGCGCACTGTCAGACAACATGCCGTGCGGGACGTTGCATGTTCACATGGGGGATCTGCAGACTGCGCGGAAAATCAAGAGAGGCGTTCGCCTAAAAGTAAAATGGTCGTCCGCAGTCTGCATAGTCTATGCATAGATGCGTGGAGAAACATCCGGCACATCCGACCTTTGCACTGCTGCGACACTTCTTCAGTACCAAGTTCTCGGCGCACTGCAGCGTGGCTGGTTGTAGATTGCTTACATACAGCAGTACCCATACACCGTACAAACATGAGTTCTAGACTAGACTAGACTAGAGTAAACCAGGGTATTAACGAACACCCCCCCTTTAACGAACACTTTTTTCAAATGCACGTCCCTCGGCGAACAATGCGCGGAGCCCCCCAATTTTTTTTTGAAATCTTCAGCTTTCCGTTAGCTTTCGTTTGAGCACCTCCGCGTGTCGATCGGGTCAAGCACTCCCGAGATACAGCACAGCCCTCACCCACACCCCTTATGTGGGGCATCTTTGCCCTTTTCGGGGTCCTGCTGCTAAGCATGGGACGTAAGAGAGTAGACCCAGAGCAGGCCCAGAAGGCTGTAGATGCGGTACGCAGCGGTGAGATGTCGCTCCGCGTTGCTGCGAGGACCTACGGGTTACCGCTAGCCTCGCTGCACGACCGTGTGAAGAACAAGGTGGCCATAGATGCGAGGGTTG